GAATAACGTGTGTACTTTATACCTCACCTCCGTGCATCCTTTCAGCGTTGATAAACACGAAAGCCCGCTGGAGTTTTCTTTTCGTCACGTCACGCGAACAGACACTAAAAGAGAGAGAGAGAGGGGGGGGAGATTGAGAAAAATGAGACGCAGATAAGTAGATAAGAGATAAGGAGAGAGAGATGATGAAAATCGATGTTAGGGATGGTCCTTAATTTCTACATTTTAAAGAATGATTCCGAGAAAACTCCGAGAATACCCGAACATTTCCGAATGAAGACTCGGCTCTATTCGGGTTTTCTCGATTTTAGTCCTCACTTTAGCGCGAAACTGGAAAGAGAGAGAGAGAGAGAGAGAGAGAGAGAGAGAGAGAGAGAGAGAGAGAGAGAGAAAGAGAGAGAGAGAGAGAGAGGAGAGAGAGAGAGAGAGAGAGAGAGAGAGAGGAGAGAGAGAGAGAGAGAGAGAGAGAGAGAGAGAGAGAGAGAGAGAGAGAGAGAGAGAGAGAGAGAGAGAGAGAGAGAGAGAGAGGAGAGAGAGAGAAGAGAGAGAGAGAGAGAAGAGAGAGAGAGAAAGAGAGGAGAGAGAGAGAGAGAGAGGGGGGAGGGGGCAGGATAAGGAGAGTGAAAGGAAAGGTAAGCTTTATGATAGCCGTAGTTTGTTGCAAATAATTCTTATGGGGGCAAGTCTCAATGGGTTTGCTAGCATGAGCACTAATATTAGTATAATATCTATATATCATTGTGTTCATTTCATCATCAATCATTATTATAATTGTACTATTATTACCATTATCATCATGTTATCATAATTACTAGAATTACAATTCTATTACCCTTGTAATGCCATTGCAATAATTATTAGTTTAATACCATGATTATCCCCATTTCATGTTGTGACAACCAAATACATACACACGGAAAACAATCATACACAGACACATACACACAACACATACACACTGACACGCAAACACTCACACCAACACCCATCCACATACACACTTACACACAAACCCACTCACACACTCACATACCCACACACGCGCCCACACACTCATACTCAGCCACACATACACCACCTACACACACATGCTCATCCACGCGCGCACATACTCAACCATCTACACAACCACAGATACCTACTCACCTACACACAGACTCACACACACATACCATCACCCCGCACCAACCTTCAAGACCTCCCCACCTCCCCTTCCCATCTACCCATCCCCACTCCCCCCACCCTCCCATCTACCCCCTCTCCACCCCACCTCATCCCTACGCCTTCCTTCCACCTCCCTCTCCATCCTACCCTTCCCCACCCCCACCTCCCATCCTACCTCTCCCTCTCCCCCCTCCTACCCTACCCTCTCTCCCATCCTACCCTTTCCCACCCCACCTTCCCTTACCCCTCTCCTCACCCCAACCCCTCTCCACCTACCCATCCCCCACCCTCCATATACCCCTCTCCACCCCCAACCAATCTCATCTACCCCTTCCCCACCCCCACCCTCCTCCACGCTCCACCACTCCCACACCAACCTACCCATCCTCACCCCCTTCCTTCCTCCCAACTTCCCACGTCCTTTTCCCACCTACCTCCACCACACACAGTTCACCCTCCTCTTCTCCTCTTCTTCCCCTCCCCCCTCCTGAGCGAGATACTGGTGGAGGCGCCGCAGGAGGGGCAGGAGGAAGGGCTCCGGCGGAGAGGAAGTTTGAGCTGGAGATTAACATTAACGGGCGTCCACGTGCGGTCTTCAACATCTAGGGGGTACATGCCTGTATTACACTTCTCGGGGTGCCTGGTCCGGGCCAGGCGGCGTGTAGCGTGATAGAACATGCACGGTCTTGGGCCGGTTGTCAGTAATGAAACCTTTATAGTCTGTTTATCATTTCTCTTCGTCTCTCTTGAATTCGCTCTTCTCACGTCATCTGACGGCCGAGAAGGGTTGGTAAGATCTCCCTTCCTCACTCACTGGCGTCTCTGCTACATGCGATTCTGGTACAGGAGTCTCTTTTCCTCGTTTCTCTCCTCACGCTCTCTTTCTTCTCCCCTTCCCGTCTTTCTCCTCCGTGTCTCTCCTTCTCCCAGTGGATCTGATGCGAGATTATATGTGTCAACCTATCTTTATACAACCTCTTGAATTCTGTACGACGTGGTACACCTCTCACGGCGCCGCCCCTCCCTTACCGGCAGACTGATCCTTCCACATCCCTCTGAGTTAAGAGCTCATGATAGCTTACCACATCTTTCAGGTCAACTTTGCTCTACTATCAAGCCTCAGTCTCTCTGAACCTTCTGCAAGCGGACAGTAGTACATCTCAGGATTCAAGCGGTCTACGCGATACTCTCGTCTCTAGGACCTGATTAGCAACGCCATACTTCTCTTTCTACTCCACATGTGTGATGATAACACACACCTAATACGCATTCTGCATATATCTACGACCACTTCATCTTCGCCAATTCCCTCCCATCACGCTCTCTGCTCTCTCTCTCTATCTATATATAATTATATATAATATTATATATATATCATATATGGTGTAGTAATATTGATATAATTATATATACATATATATATAAAAGCTAAATATATATATATATATATATAAGATGTATATATGTATATTTGTTTTTGTCTGTCCTTGTCCTGTCTGTCTGTCTATCTGTCTGTGTCTGTCTGTCTATCTGTCTGTCTGTCTTATCTGTCTATCTGTCTGTCTGTCTATCTGTCCTATCTGTCTGTCTGTTCTGTCTAATTTCTGTCTGTCTGTCCCTATCTGGTAATTATCTTGTTCTGTCTATCTAGCTATTTTAGCGCCATCTAATCTGTTATTAATATCTATCTCTTAACCTTCCATCTATCTCTCTGTCTCTATCTGATCTTTAATCTGTCTGTCTAACTATTGTTTCTCTATCTTCTATTCTATCGAATGTATTTTTTCCTAGATAACAATAGACAGACAGACAATATCTTGGTATAAGTCTGGTTATTCCGGTCCTTAGGATAATATATAAGATAATAAGTACTAGTACTAATGATAATAACCAATGATTAGATGATGATGATGGTGATAATAATGATGAGTAATAATGATGATTATGAGCGGAGGATAATTAATGATAATGATAATCATGATCATAATCGATGAGGGTAACAACAATAATATGATAGTATTGATAATATAGACGATAATAATAAAATAAATAGTAATAGACCAAAATATGATAATAATGATTATATGATAATAATGATTACAAAAATCGTTAAAAGTAATAATTAAATAATTATAATAATGATGATGATAATATAATGATTGATAATAATGTGATTGTGATAACCGATGATAATGAAATTAATGATAATAGTAATAAATATAGGCAACAAAACAACAAACAAATAATAATAATCGATGATAATGATGATGATAATATAATGATAATATAATAAATAATAATAATATAATATAATATTATATTATTTTAATTATTATTATTATTGTATTATTATTATTATAATAATAATAATAATGATAATAATAATAATGATATATATAATAATGATTATAATAATAATAAATAATAATAATAATAATAATATTCATAACAATATAATATAATAATAATAAAAATAATAATAATAATAATAATAACAATAATAATAGTAATAACAATAAATGACAATAATAATAAGGATGATAACAATGATAATAATAAAATTCAATTTGACAACAATAATGATAATATAATAACAGTAAATAAAAAATAACAATAATACAACAACAAGGATAATGAAAAAAGGGAAAAAAATATGATAATAATCACGATGATAAATATAATAGCAATCAAAATCATAAGCAATAGAAATAATAAAGATAACAACAATGATAAAACTAAGGAAATAATGATAACAAAATACAAGTGAATAAAAATAATAATGATAACAAAATACAAGGTAATAAAAATTATAATCATAACAATAAAACAATAAAATGATAACAACAAAAAGACAACACAATAACAAACATAATAACTGACATCCCGCATCCTTATGACCGGAATAACCAGAGCGAATATCAAGGTCAGGTCAGGTCATCACGATAACACTCTGATGCTCCCGATGGACTTTGTCACACGCATGCATAGGCTGAGGGTCTCCTCATCACGCATGTATGGGTATTGGCGTCCATATGTCGTTTGCTTGTTTTCTTCTTATTCTCTCTTTCATTCTTTCTTGTCTCTGTCTATTGTCTGTTTGTATGTTTGTGTGTCGGAATGTCTGTCTGTGTCTCTGACTGTCTGTGTCTCTGTTTCTGTCTGACTGTCTGTTTGACTTTGTCTGTCTCTGCCCTCCCTTCTCTCTGTGTGTCTTTCTCTGTCTCTGTCTGTCTGTCTGTCTGTCTCTCTTTCTCTGTCTCTCTGTCCTCTGTCCTCTCCTCTCTCTCTCTCTCTCTCTCTCTCTCTCTCTCTCTCTCTCTCTCTCTCTCTCTCTCTCTCTCTCTCTCCTCTCCTCTTCTTTTATCTATCTATCAACCTCTCTATCTCCAGCAGTATTTAAGCATGATAAACATCAGCTTTATGCCACATTTCTCACCATCTTATTTTCTTTTCCTTTTCTCTCTCCGCCTTCATCTTGCATGTTTTTTAAACCTATTAGAATGGCAACACAAAGACCGCAAACAAGCACTTATTTAATGCTTTTTTAATTCTGTAAGCGGTAACAGATATATTCATTCTAAAGTAGAAGTTCAACTTTAATGAGTGTATGACAAGAATTAAATTAAAAAATTTCAAGTGTTTGATAAAAGATTTCATCTGTGATTTATTTAACAAATTTCTCTTGTTGAGAGGACTTAAGCACTGAATAGATTAATATCATCACGACCTTAGTTGTTATTTTTTCCCACTATAATAACATGGAATATTAAAAAAAGGTTTTACACTATATATCAAGAGGTTTCTACAATCAATAATGTGTTTTCTGAGGATACAAC